CACATTCCCCAGCTGTCCGGACAGGCACAGCCTCTGCACCCCATCCAGCCCCAGTCTGTGTGTCAAGAGTCCCTTTGGTCACACTCGGGAATTGTCCCACCTTGTCCCAGCCTGAAGGGACACTGACATCAGCAAAGGGACTGGGACATCTCCTGCTACGTCTCCTGCCCACCACACAGCCTCAACAAACCACTTTTTCCAGTGCTCCAGTACCTTTGCCTGCCCACAGGCTGGTGTTCAGGTGTTACCAAGAGGAGCCAGATAAATAATGTCAGCACACAGTGGTGGTGCCACTTTACAGATGGCATTTTCCAAGTGGMAGCTCAGTGGTGTGATGTTTGAATCTCAGCTRTCATTTAAAATAAAAACAAAAAGCAAAATCGCAGCAGAGAGAAGCTAACAAACAAGACTCTGGATGCTCCAGAGATCCTTGCAGAAATATGCGATTTTTCATGAGCATTGCTAAGTCTTAGAATCTCAATCTTGAGTCAGGACAGTTGGATGCATCTGATTCAAGAATGATTCAGATGGCGGTGTGGAGGCAGAGAAGAAGGCAAGGGAGTGACATTTTCTGCTGTGGGCAACATCTCTATTTTAAGCTCAAAGATACAAACTTATTACTTGATTGAAAAAAAAAGGGCACTCTCTGCCCTGGCTGTTCCCGTGCTGATCCTGAGGAACAAGACCATCCTCCTTATCCTCAGCTTTCACATCCACAACTTCATTTCCATTTCTTTAAATAAATTTAAATCCTGCTGACACCTTSAGCACAAGTTATCTCAGTAACCACATTGAACACAATCCTGAGCCCTCAAACAAGGAAGGCTTAAGCTGCCTTCTCAAGTGATGAGCAGGAGGAAAGCTCCAGCTCGCCCTCCCGGGCTCCTCCTGCTTGTCCCCCCCACGGTCAGAGGCAGAGCAGGGGCATTCAGGCAGGGTGTGAAACCATAGATAGGTGGGAAGACTTTTCCCAAAGGACCTAATGACAGGATGAAAGAAGGGAAGAGGATGAGTCACTGAGAGCCACAAAAGSGATGATGGCACAAGGTCCTGAAACTGCCTTCAACAACTCAGCTGYTTTGTGCTACAAGGATTTGGGAGCTCCCACCCCCAGTGTGGCTGCTGAAGGCTCCATGGCTTGGACAAGTCTTTCCTGTACAACACTGTCAGTGCTGTAGGGAGCCCCAAACCTGCCCCCACCATGCCTCCTGCAAGAACAGGGYGCACAGACCTTTCTCCACATGCCCTGCACCAAAGCAAACCTCTCCAGCTGGATGATGGAGAGCTGAAGCCAGGACTCAGCAGCCCCCTCCTCACCCTGTCACTTCCCCTGTGCCCAGGTCACCCCCAACGCCCCCGGGGATTTGCCAGGCTCCTCTTCACGAGCTAAACCCATCAGCTAATCCCACCCAAAGCCGCAGCCACCACCCATGGAGGGGCTCTGGCTGCACCTCCTCCATCTGAGCAGCATCACCCCAGCCCGAGGTGGCCCCAGGCTGGAGGTTGGGGACCCATCAGCCGTGGCTGCATGCCCTGACTCAGCTTTCACACATTTCCGAGGCAGTGTGTGACACCTTCCCGTGGTTAAYGCTCCGAGCCACCTGCATTTCCTGCCCTGTGGCTGCAGCAGAAATTGTTCAGTGTCCCCTCCTACGAGGTGCAGAGATGAGGAGTCAGACCCAGCGGTCACCTCTGGGAGCTGGTGACCCAGGAAGGCAGGTGGAGCATGACAAAACACGGGGRAGGAGAGAAGGCAACAGCTTTCATGATTTGAAGCACTCAGGACAGCCCAAAGACAGCAATAGGCAGGGTTTGGGTGCTGCTGTCCCAGCACAGCATGGACACAGCAAGGCTGGGAAAGGACATTTGGGCCTTTCAGCCCACCCACCTGCTGTGCATGGGGCTGGAAAAGTCAGAGCAAGATGTCCTTCAAGAAGCCCACGCTGTTCAACACTGCCCTACAGAACCGGGTGGAATCGAGGATTTTTGTTCTCTAGGCAGGGAAWGTCCAACCAGGACCACGCTGGCCACAGCAGCTGCATCTCTGCTCCAACACAAGCATCCACCCGAGCAGCAGCCGTCCCCTGGCAGATTCCCCAGCAAAACTCCAGCTCCTGCTAAAAACGAGACTACTGGGGATAAAAGGAAGAGGCAGAGTCTCCACGGCGGGTGTTAGAGGCTTTGGCGATAAGGCGGGGGTACTTCTAAGCTTGTCTCCACAAACATAAGGATTAGCAATTTACTTCTCTTAAAAACAAAATCCGGGATTTCAACATGATCACAGGCTYGGAAAGAAAAATAAACATCACGGAACTGGGAAAGGGAGGAGAAGGAGAGTGGAGCACGCCGGCAGCTCGGGGAAAGCTGAAGTGCTTCTTAAATCAGAATAAGAAATGCACCACAGTCAGAATTGAAATCYTGGTAGCTCTGAACAGCACTGACCCTGAGGACTCTCACACCAACCTCTTATCAGTGATAATGCCATGAACATTAAGGGAAGCCTTGCTAATAATGTGCATGAGAAAAGGCCCATTTGTTTAATGCAACAGAGCACATAATGCATTAATTACCTACTGAGTTGGAAAAGTGATGTTGAAAACATGCTTGAGTTAAAGCAAACCGAGGGTTTCAGCTAAGCCCATTATGTCCACTGGCTTTGCTGTGCCTTCAGTGCTTAACAGCCCTTGAGAGCAAACCTCTGCACAGGAATTCTTCACAGTACATGGGGCAGCACAGAAAACCCCACAAAACCCACAGAGAGCAGCTCCCACACAGATCACRGCTACACCACTCACCCACAACACATCCCCATGACACAGGGCAATGCTGCCAAGCCCAGCATCTCCTCCTGATGCCACCTCACCCGCCCCCAGGTGCCCTAAAACCCACCCAGCCCTGGAGAGCACCAGCAATCCCCCATCAGCCAGGGCTAATCTCAACCTGTCACGCTCAGGACTAACAAATTGGCCTCTTGGAGAAGACATAATCTGCCCTTGTGCTCCTGCCCTGGCCATCACCGCTGTGTAAAGGCACCAGAGAGCAATTTTGAGATTAACTGGCTGTAGCCATTAATAATTAGCACGTTAAAACTTCAAAGGGTGATGCTGGCCTCCACAATAYGGACTCAGCACAGCCAGGGGTGGTGGTGGGGAGTGCTCATCCTCGGTGCTCCCTTTTCCCAAGTGAGAACTGAAGCACAGGGGTGAGGGCAGCCCGTGACAGCACAGGGATCAGACACAAAATCCCCCAGACTTCCATCCCTGACAGCTCCTGTGGTGGGAGACATGGAGGATGTTATGTAAGCATCCTACACAGACATCTGGGAGCATCCCAAAGCCACTGCTAAACCTCATGCACTTGTCACTGTGCCTGTATGAGCAGGATGCTCTTGATGAAGCCATTGGAGCCCAGGCTGGGAGTCCCAATGCCACTGGATACCGGTGGAAACAAACACAACACAGRGGCTCAGAGAGGGAAATGTGCTGGAGGAAGCTCGGGATGTGTCTGTGGATCCCCTGGCTGGCACCCAGAGGGTCGCACTGTGCTGTGCTGAGTTGCTCAGTCCATTCAGTTTGATCCATGGCACAGCAGTAGAAACTGCTTTTGCTTTAAGAACTCTCATCTCATCCTACCTTTATCAGCAATTCTCAATCTTAAGCTGTTCCGTTTCTTCCAGAAAAAGCAAAGAGAGAAACCTCAGCGGAAGAAAGGGAATTAAAGTCTGAAAAACAAGCGACTCCAGATTTTCTGCTGATTTTATTTCTAGCCAAATAAAAAAGGTTGATTAATCCCCTTGTTCAGACTGCTAACACTACCAGAACAACAGACTGCATCCCTTTCACATCAGAAGAGGCTCGACGTGCTTAAACTAAACATCTTCCGGGCAAAAAGAAAAAATAAATACAGAACAGGAAAGAATCAGTGCTATAGTATTTGCATGTGTCTGAAGATAAAGCCTTGGAAATGCAGAGTGAAACCAAGTTCTCCAGTAACATGGACAAAGCTCCATCCTCAGACTCCAGCAGAGTTTTAATCTCTAGGTAAAGTGGAGTCTCAGCTTTKAGGAGCATCAGTGTTTCACCTCCCAGCGAGTGACCAGCACTGTCACTCTGTGCTACACCCAGCAAGAGCCTCACCTGAGAGCACATCCACCCATCCACCCTTCACCTCTCCCCTCCTCACACTCTTCATTGATAATTCCATGTATTCCCGTTGCCATAGCACCTTCTCGGCCCGGTATAAGCCCCGACCACCAGAGGGGCAGGATGAGGCCTCGCACAGGCTGCACTGAGGCGCATCGTTCCCAGCACAGATGGAGCCGGTGGCTCTTTTCAACCCTCGCACACCCATCAGGTACCCTGTGAGTACCCCATCACCCACTGAACGGCAGACACTCCTAACACGGGTAAGAACAAGGGCTCTGGTGACACCAAGTCATCACCAACCCTGCTCTCTCGTTGCTGCCGGCACTTCGAGGTGGGACACAGGGGACCCTTGAGCAACTCGACCTCCAAAGTCCCACCCGGGGATGCCCAAGGCCAGCACCCATCCTGTTGGACACTGCCTGGATGCAAGGTGATGGGAAGGACCTGTCTTCATCTCCTCCTCAGGGAGCACAGTCAGTGCCAGGGACCACTGCCGGAAGGATGCTTCGGGTAGGCTGGACCAGCACCTGCCCCGCTGCTCCCCAAAAGCAGCAGTGACACCCCCGGCACGGCACGGGCTGGCACAGCTGTCCCTCCCGACCGCATCCCAGGGTCGGCACARCCGCGGCAGCCCCGCACCCAGCCCCGCGGGGAAGCCGGAGCCGGGGCTGGGCCGGGAGATGCTCCGGGGGTCCCCCAGCGCGGGGGTCCCTCCGCCCACCCCGCACGGGGGTCACCGCAGCCGGAGGGGCCCGGGGAGCCGCCGCCGCCCCGTCCCCGGCCGCGCCTTTGTCCCGCTCGCCGCCGGCGGCCCCGCTGACACCGCCCCGCCACGGACACGCGCGGGCCGCTCACCTGCGGGGCCGCTGCCCGCCGCCGCCTCCTCCTCCTCCTGCTGCTGCTGCTCCTCTTCTTCCTCCTCCTCCGCCACCGCCTCCTC